CCCCCCCCCCAATAATAAAAATGAGCAGAGTCGGTACTGAAAATTTTTTTGTCGGCTTTATTAAATTGCTAAGTGAAATATGACGTTTGAAAGTGAGATTTTGATTACTGATATAAGCCACAACTTCTTTATAAGATCACCTGTTCCACTCTTTTGTGCACAACTTTCAGTTCTGACATGACATTTATTTAAACACTATCATTAAGATTAAAACATGATATTTGTTAAGTCAAGCAAGTCTTTTCTAGTCTGTTTTACAGCGAGCCTTTTATGAATTCATTTATGAACTTCCCTCCAGTCTTCCAAGCTCACTGGTGATTGAGACAATTTTGCTTAAAAAAATTTGTATGCACCACTTAATCTTTTTGTATACATGTATGAGGCTCTGCGTGTTCTTTACTGAGATTATTTTAGAGACTATGCTGTTAAAACAGATCACAGGTCTTTCTACTTAATAATTACTGTAGTCTCAATGAAAGCCACTATATTTTTGTACTTGGAAACAAACTAGTCTGTGTCTGTAGTTACACTTTGTACAAGTTATTCCTCATGAGTTATATAAACATATGTTAGCCTATGTGTGTAGCACTTTATCAGTGTTTCCTTTTGATGTTGTGAAACATAGGAAAGGGTTACAGATGCTGGTTAAGGTAAGTAAAGTGGGGAAAAATATTGTATTGCAACTCTTGAGACTATTACCAATATACTAGAACCAAAAATTAAAAACATATATATTAAAAGATGCAGGTGGTCTACACAGTGCTGCAAATGCACTCACCGGCTACATCATTTGGGTACACCTAGCAAGTACTGCGTTGTCCCCCTTTTTGCTTTCAAAACTGCCTTAATTCTTCATGGCACAGATGCTGCAAACATTCCTCAGAGATTTTGACATGACAGCATCACACAGTTGCTGTTCATGATGTGGATCTTCTGTTCCCCTCACATCGTAAAAGTGCCCTATTGGATTGAGGTGGATGGGGAGGCTGTGCTCAACTGGTACTAAAGGGGCCCAAAGTGTGCCAAGAAAATGTCCCCCAGACTATTAAACCACCACCACCACCCTGAAATATTACAACACATCAGGATTGATCCATGGTGTCATGTTGTTTACAGCAAATTCTAAATCCAACATCTAAATGCTACAGCAGAAATCGAGACTTATTGGAGCCGGCAACACTTTTCCAATCTTCTATTGTCCAACTTTGATGAGCCTGTGTGAATTCCTCTCCTTTGCTCACAGAATCGATACCTGGTGTGGTCTTCTGCTCCTGCAGTCCATCTGCTTCAAGGCTGGACATGTTGTGCATTCAGAGATGCTCTTCTGCATACCTTGTTTGTTACTGTTACCTATCAGCAGTCTCGCCATTCTCCTATTACCTCTGGTATCAACAAGGCATTTTAGTTCATACAACTGCCACTCACTAGAGATTTTCTCATTTTCTGACCATTCTCTGTAAACACTAGAGATCCACTTTAACAATTCCAATTTGTGAAACACTCTGACCAGCACGTCCGGCATCAACACCCATGCTACACTCAAAGTCACTTAAATCACCTTCCTTCCCCATTCACCAAGTCTGTGTACAGGATTAAATTCTTCTCATGTTTGCATTAATGTATTAACATTCGAACAGGTGTACCTAATGAAGTGGTCGGTGAGTGTAAATACATAATTCCTTATTGTCTTGGAATATGTGCCATGGAATAATGGGTATTGTGGATGATCGTGATAGCATGTTATTGTGAGTCACTCAGTTTTCCATGGGGAGAGAAACAGTAGTGGTCATAAGACCTACTGTAAATAAAAAATCTGTTTCATAAAAACACTCAGCATCTAAATAAACGTGTCTCGCTCTCTGCAGCTGTGGGTGCAACAGCAGTGTACCCCATTGATCTGGTGAAGACACGCATGCAGAACCAGAGGAGCAGCGGGTCACTGGTGGGAGAGCTCATGTACAAGAACAGCTTCGACTGCTTCAAGAAGGTGGTGCGCTACGAGGGCTTCTTCGGACTTTACCGAGGTCAGCATACATGTAGAGAACACGCGAACCTCCAGTGTTATTTATTCATACTCGACATATACACAAACAAAGACACGAACTTAATATTGAACCAAAGTTACAGAAATCCTGAGAGTTTGAAACTAAATGTTGAGAAGGTTTCTGACAGAAGCTGTGGGGGTGAGTCAGATGTTAAAGGCTACAGACTATAAAAGATGGCATGACACAGTGGTTATTGGACTCGACATTTTGAAGCCTCAAAGTTAGCATTTTGACCCCCGTTTTTCTTTTAGAGCCAGAAGTTAGCATATTTGGATGATTTCTTTGATGACAATAAACACCCATGAACTACTGTAAGTACTGAAAGTGTAATAGACCAAAAAAATATCAAAACCTCACAAAAATGGTCCTGACATTCACATACCGACACACTCTGATGGCTGGTTGAGTATTTTATGCAGACTAGAGGAGTCGGGATTAATCCAACACCGACCTGCACTGTGCAACATTCATCCCAAATCTGGTTTTTATTGTTTTGTTCATGTGTTTTAATACTGTTAAGGTGGGTATTTTTTCATGCAAGTCTATGAAGATTGACTTGTTTTTGGAGCCAGCTGGAAATTACAATTTTTGGCTTCATTTTTCATCTCAGGAAGTTGCTCCTTTGTTGAGAATCTCTCATATGCATTCACTAAAATGTATCACAGGCACTTTCCACATAACTTTTATCAGTATTTTAAATAAAACTTTATGTGGTTTTAACAAACAGCTCTTTACATTTAGTCAACACTAAAGTAAATCGAATCCTTCCTCAAAACTATAGGTTTTCAGGGAAAACAACTCACTGGCGGTCAAATCTACAAAACAGGTTTTTAAAGTAAAGGAGGGGCTGAGATGAGGGAGTACAAAGAAGAATCGAGTAGTAGGAACAATGAAAGAGAAGGGAATCGAGAGAAGATGAGAGAAGAAAAGTGTAGGGTGGACAGGAGGGCGGTGTGAGTTCACCTCTCTGTTGACCTGGCTTCTTTGAAGTGATTACCGGCTGGCTGGGGACTTTCAGAGCAGCACAATGAACGTCACACGCAAAGCCACATACCTTGAGGCCTGTGTCACGATGTAGTGATGTCGCACGTCTAGACCTACACACCGGTGCAAACACATTACAGACACACAAGTATGTAGGCATGCAGGGGACTACTTGGGCATGCAGGTACGTACATACCAGGGCACGACACCAGTAATGACTACCTGCCCTGCCTTCAGAAACTGCGGTTAGAGTGTCTGCATTGTTGGGGTCAGATTAAAGGAGGATTGAAAAGAGGTCTCCTGGAATGACGGTGGGGCTTTAAAAAAAAAATCCTACGATTTTGATTGACAGAACTAGGTTTCGTGAGAGGAAACTTGAATGCTTGAATTTCTGTGGGAAACAAAGGCTATGAAGAGTGAAGTGACAGACGCAGACAGGTCTGGCTCCAGGTAGAAGGCGAGACAGGTATCCTGGCACCTAAACTGTAGTTATGTAATGTAAGTTGAAAGGGCCATCTCTGTTGAAACATTCTTCAGAAGGAAGAGAAGGGAATTAACGGCCCAAAACTGCTTTACGGTGCGATGCTGGGACAGCACACGAAAGAAACACGATGGCAAGACCAAATATTCAATAACAAACCTGTTGTGTATATTCTGTTTTCATGAACACATGTCTGCTGATTTTTCTCTTTTTCAGGCTAGCCAAAACTTGCAACTTCCAAATTGGGTATATGATTGTGTGTGTGGTTGTTTGTGTGTGTATGTTTGGCCTCACTACACACAAAGGACTCGATTATGAAGTGCGAGTGCTACTTTGAACAAATGGTTGAGCGTGAGTGATTCGTGCCTTGGGACTGGGTAGGGGGCCAAGTTTCATTGTGCTCCGTTGTGATTATTTTTGTTTATTTTTACCCGACTCTGGGTTGTAATTGAGGTCTGCGTAAACTTTTGGTGGCTTTGATTTCTACACTGCCCTTTTTTTCCTATTCTGGGAAGCAGTTTTGCTCACTTCATTTTCTCTTTGCCCCTTCATCCTCTTCTCTCTATCTCGCTGTCTTTTTTCTACTCTGATGTCCCCACACTCCACATCAATAGATTTCATTAGCGTCTGGGGGATCTTGCACGGTCGGGCGCATGCAGCGGGAAGCCACACATTGATGTGGAACGTGGGGAAGTGGTATATGTATATATATATGTATGTGTGTGTGTGTGAGAGTGGGGGTACCACGGCAGTCTTTTTTTCTAATCATCTTGTCGTTTCCTAATGATAGGTCTGGTACCACAGCTACTGGGTGTGGCGCCCGAGAAAGCCATAAAGCTCACAGTAAGTAACTGTGTTAGAGCCCGTGCAGACACATGCACTCAGATTCACTCAGGCAGAGATTCACGAGGGTCTTTAATCCCTTTAAATTATTGTATGAGTTTTAGATTGTTTTATGAAGCAAACAATTCGATAAATAGTTACAAACACAGCTACTTCCTTAACCTTCCTGTTTTTCTGCATTTGTAAACTGTCAGTCAGAGGAGCATTTACAGCATGCAGTGTAACATTTGTGGTACGCTAAGTGGCATACACCATCATTGAAGCATGTGTCAGTACATTTAGGTCCATAAGTATTTGGAGAGTGAGACACTTTCTGTACACGATCACGGTGGATTTCAAATCAAGCAAGATGTAAAAAGTACAGACATTCGGCTTTAATTCAAGGATTTTAACGAAATGTTGTTTAAACTGTTCAGGAAAGGCAGTGTAGTCATTTTTATACATACTCCTCATTTTCAGAGGATGAAAAGTAACTGGAGAAGTTTCACTGTTTCAGATTTTATTTACAAATCAGTTGACTGACAAGGACTAGTTGAGGTCTGCTCCCTCAATATTTCATGACAAATTAAGTAGAGTTGATTAGGGATGGGTATCGTTTAGGTTTTATCCAATACCGGTGCCAAATCGGTACTTTTGAAACGGTGCCGGTGCTCAAACCAGTGCTTAAAGAATGGAGAACACAAAATTGGTCCAAAAACCTCTCATGTTCAGCTGTTTTTTTGTAAAAAGATAACAATGTTAGCCTTTTCTGCAGCTATGGGGCATATATGGTATCACTCTTGGCTGGAAGCGGTGCTTAAACAATGGAAAAAACACAAACTTTGTCCAAAAACCTCTCACGTTTAACTGTTTTCCACTTTTTCTTTGGTCATTTTAGCCTTTTTGGCCAGGGTGAAGGGAGTATCTGCCATCAAACAAGAAGACAGCCGCATGTAGCTATGATGATGTTTGCTAGTTCACCTTACATGTATTAATGTAATAACGTGGTTAGCCTACTCAACGTAAATTACCTACTCACGCAGAGAAGAACGCTGCTGCTGCCATCATCATCCGTCATCATTTCTGCTACACTGGCAGGGCTAGGGGCCAGGACTCTCCTCTTCGTGTTTCTGGGGGATGTTGCTAACTCTGGGTCCGATAACTGGCAACCCACCCGCAGTAGATGTGCTCGTGTGAGGTCTCGCAGCAAGCTATCATACGGCGCATTTCTGGGCTTTTAAAAAAAACGCTATGCGTCGCCAGGTGTTTCATCGGATTTCAGGTGTTACCTCCTTTGACTGTATCACAGTATCAGCTTAAAGCACTTGTTGCAGGCTGCTGAGTTTGCATATTTTGCTGTGAAGTACAGCCAGACTTTTGACCGCTTCGCCTTGGGCATTTTTAATCTGTAGGTCTGCTCTAAAAGAACGTACGTACCTGGACCCGCCTACTATCCTCGGAAACGTAAAATGATTGGCTAGAAGTGTATCACAGCTCAGGAAAAAAAAGCACCGAAATAAAGCACTGAAATTTGCGCTGCTTTTCGGTCTGGTTACTACCGTTTATGTCAGAACCGGTGCCATGACCAGTACCCATCCCTAGAGTTGATTTCAAGTGTTGAACTTGTATTTGGTAGTAGTTCACTAAAAAACCCAATATGAGGTCCAAAGAGGGAGGGAGGCCATCATTATGTTAAAAAAGCTCATAGTCCAAAGCATAAGATATCGTCTATAAAACACGATGAAGGCAATGTTGTGGCATGGCCATTGGAGCCAGTCACTTGTGTTGACAGATGAAGTGACTGCTAATAGAAACAGCAGGATGAATAGTGAAGTGTACAGGGCGGTACTCTCTGCTCAAGTTTAGCCAAACGCTGCAAAACTGATCAGTTAATCCAAAAAATTGGTTAATTTTTGGATCCAAAAAATTGGTTAATTTTTGGATTAACCTTATGAATTAAAGCTGAAAGTCAGGACTTTTATTACATGTTGACTGTTTGATTTATAAACCACTGTGGTCATGTATAGAGGCAACTTGACAAACTCATTGTCACCGTCTAAAAACATATGGCTACAACTGTGTCCGCTGATTATTGCTTATGTTCTAAACCATACATTTTGTGTCTCTAGGTGAATGATTTTGTGCGTGGAAAGACCAGACAGAAGGACGGTACAGTCCCGCTTGCCGCTGAGATTCTGGCTGGTGGATGTGTAAGTTTATAGACAGCTGTTACATTTGTTGTATTTCTATGTGAGAACGCCTTTGTTTGTTGGTTAAGTGAAGGTCAGATGCAACTGCTTGAACAGATTTTGGGTGTTTTATCAAGGAGCTGTTTGAGCTTTGGTAGCTCACCTGGGAATGTGCACACACCATGTGATACAGCCTTTGAACATATCAAAAACTATTAAAAGCTGCCATCTGATGCCTCAGCTGACCATTTTGCACATCCAATTAGCAATTTGCATATAGTTGCTTTAGTCTGCTTACAGCTGCTTTGCATCCCACATCGACCATAGCTCATTCTTTTATGATCTGACTAAATCGCTGCCACTGATGCCTGCTCTTTTCTGTACTGACTCTTTTTTTCGTTGCTGTTGCAGAAATAAAAACACACGAAAGAGCTTTTTACTCCCTTTTTACTGAAAAGACACAAAAGGCCGAGTCATTTTTAAGAAAATATTATGAGCATAATCAAATACAGTCAAATTACATATTTCGGTGTGCACCTTCTGCCTTTCCAGAGTGCACTGTGTTGGAGTGATGCTGCACAGCACTCAGGCAGTGTGTGCAGTATTGAGTCGGCATGCATGTCTTAACTATGCTGACAGTTGAGCAGACAGACATGGACTTGTTTTGGAGTCCAGGGGTTGCTATTTGTTGATGGAACCTGTACACTCGAAAGAGCAAACACACACACACTGTGCATGCTCAGAGAGGTGTGTGTGCGTGAGGAGTACTACAAGCACACACACACACACAAAGATTGACAGCTGCTGATACCTGAGTCCCCCCTTACTCAGTTTGTTACCTGCTCCCCCTCCAATCATGGGTTTTGATCACTGACCTGTCAAAGTCTAACCCCTGCCCCACCCTACTTACCCCCCAATGCATGTGCACACACACACACACACACACACACACACACTCTTTTTTACACACACACTCGGTCCTACAAGGCTGGCAGCTTTAGCCAGGCCAAATGAAAGAAGGTCTTTCATTGAACCCTCTTTTGATGTCGATCACTAAAGCAAAGTATTTCAGGATACACAAGTCATTATGGGTTTAGCTCCACTCAGGCACATTCAATTGACCTTATTAGTTCTGGGAATATGTTTAAGAAATGTTATGGCACACTACATTTGCTGTAACCTACATTCTGGATGGCGATTTTCTTTTGTGAGAGAGAGAAATGGAAAACGTACAGCAAAGTAAATATACTTAGGACATGCTCTGTGGTGTCCTGGGTGTGAAGAATAGTGGTTGCCTTTAAAAAATAATAATAATAATAATAACTCGTATGAATTTAAAAGCAGAACCATAAAAGTCACAGAGAGAGGGGAGGAGGATAAATGTAGAGGAGAGGAGTGTGGATGGATGGATTTTTCCTCTTTTCCTCCGTGAGCCGTCGTGACAGCTCCTTTCATCCTGGCTGAGGCCCCGGTGTTAGTGCTGGCACTGCACTCTGCCTGCCACTTTATCTACACACATGCACACTCACACACACAGACACTTACACACACATGTATGGCTATCTTTATGAGGACCAGTTGCCTTCCCTAGCCCCTTATGCTAACCTTAACAAATCAGTTCGTTACCCCAACTTTAACATAGCGCTGAACCTAATCTTAACCCTAAAAAACGAGTCCAAACCCTCAAACATTTCTTTGAAGAGGGGTGAAAAAGTGTCCTCACTTTTCCGTTTTGCCCTCACACACACACACAGACGTCAAACCTCCCTGAACCCTGTTTTAGCGAGGCTCCAGCCACAGCACATGAAATCTGTTTATATCATTTGGTAGCTGTGAAAGTGTTGGTTTGGACCACGATGTCGGCCTCAGATTCACAGTCTGTAAAGATGAAAAAAAGGAGAAGCGAGAAAGAAAAAGAGAAGATATGTTTGCTTTCTGCGAAGAAAACTTTTCATATGTCAGTATCTTTATCTTTATCTGCCCCAAAGTGTTGGTTTTTAGGTCCCTTTTCTTTCTCTTCTCACCTCTCACGCTCCTTCTCCTCCTCCTCCTCTTTTCTGTCCTTAAACCTGCGGCTCAGCACCATTAAGCTCCGGTGCGGGTTTGCCAGTTTCTAATGATTATTTGGTAAGAATGGCATGCTCCGTTTACCGAGCTGGGTGGATGCTTATCTGGCAGTAACTGGCCTGCGTTTCAGGACTTAAGTTACACGAAATACTTGCTGGGTCATTGCTGACCGGAGGAGTGGGGTTGTTTGTTCCCATTCATTGTGAATGTGTTACAGTTTGCGTTTGTGGTTTTTAATGAGTTTCTTATTCAGGCCTGACATGAGTTATGAAAACATTATCAGTGAATCTAACATGCGCACGCCACGGCAACAAATGAAGCTGTGATTATCATTTATAGACTGTGGTTACATTTTTTTCTTTTTTTTTCTTTTTTTGTTTTTGTGGGGGGGTTTTAGCTGGTGCTAATCTCCTGTGTAAGTGCGTGGTCGGCATACGTGTGTAGGGTTGATGGTGGGCTGGTCCTCAAACTTTTACTAAGCTCCTTTTCCAGCACACACACGGCCAAGGAGCTGCGATCCGTGCATAAGGTGCTGACGTCCCAGGTTTCCGAGGATCACCTTGCCTTGTAATTACCTGGGAATCATCAGAGGACTGCCGACGCTGTCACTCCATAATCACAACCCTCAACCTCTCTGCCTCAGTCTCGACCTTTCCTTCACTTCTCTTGTTTTGACTGCTCCTCTTCTCTCTCTCATTAGCACCTTTTGTTTATTTGTCTGACTTGCTATTTTCTGTGCATTTCACTCTTTTTTTCCTTCTCCGCATGCCCTCCAGAGTTATGCAGGACTCTGGGGTGGTTCAACAGCACCAAAAAAAACCCCTCAACCACTCCTTTTTATCTCATGTTGTCAGATCTAATTGTCAGCTCATCTCTCTGAACAGTGTTGTTGTTTACCCATTTCGAATAAACAACATCTCTATCTCCTCCATCTCCAGTCTCATTTGAATCCAATTGAAGCAGCCAGCACTGCTAAGGGCCGGGGCCAATAGCCTCTTAATGCTTGCGCTATTAGCCAGCATGTAATCAACTAGGTTATTTCCATAAAACAAGTCATAAAGAGTTAGCTGTGAGATGCAGCAGCCCTCTTGCTATTCACAGCTCTCTCTCTCTCTCGCTCTCTTGGTCTGGAAGGGAAGCTGTAGCCCATTATTCTTTGTGTTGTTTAAAAAAAGCAGCTGCACACACACCTTCAATGAGACGATTATAATCTCTCTGTCTGTCCTCCCTCCCTCCCTCCTCTTAAGCAGTACGTGGTAATGCTTAAAGCCGGGGGACTCAAAGCAAAAAACGGTGCCCACGTTTGCAGATTGCAGCTTCCCGTAAGGCAAGAGGTGACGAGCACAATCCATCATTCATAACGATGCAAAACGAAGGAGGGGGAGAAAGGGAGAGAAACAACAACAAACAGACCAGGCCTATTTAAGACAGAAGTGGCGCCATGGCAACCGATTGCTATCTAATTGCGATGTGCCGCCCTTTTGCGTGTAGATTCGGTAACCACTGGCAACCGTTGGCAGAGGCGGACGATATTGGACAAGATGAGAGAGATCATTTTGAGAGCAGGTCAAAGAAAGAAACGGGGAGAATTGGTGAAAGGGGGTAAAAAGGAAAATAAATAAAAATCTTGTCTCCATTTCCCAGTGTCTCGAAGCGTCCTGGAAATGCCGCCATGCTCCCCCCACTGCACAGCTAACCATTTGTCTTGCCCCAACTCCTTCACAGCAGCTACCTCTTATACACTTAAAAGCACTGCTGACCACAAAAAGACACAGAAACCAGCCTGAACTTGCTGTGGTGGTGCCCCCCCCGCCCACCATCACAAGTACAGGTTTGGAGGATGATGTGAAAAGAGAGGTTAGGGAGAAAAAGAGAGGTCGGAGTCCCCGCAGGGTCTGGGTGATGAAGACAAACAGCTGACAGACTCGCGTGCATCAGCTGGATATTCCTGGTACTCTCCTCCTCTCTCCGTGTTTGTTTTGAAGTTGGTTGCTGAGGCTGCAACATTGCTAAAATTACATCATAAGCCAGATAATTGTAGCAGTTTTGTCTCATAATGATTTTTATTTCAGCACGTTATGTTGAAATGAAATCGCTTAAGTGGATCTGGGGCTACACTTGAATTCTCACGTTAAAGCACAGACAAAGCCGTCATTGAAATTGGGTTTAATTTGCAGCGATTAAAGTGAGGGTTTCCCTTTTTCTGAAGTTCGCTTTGTTTGTGTTTTTTATGTGTTCCTCCAGGCTGGAGGATCCCAGGTGATCTTCACAAACCCTCTGGAGATAGTAAAGATCCGTCTGCAGGTGGCAGGAGAGATCACCACGGGGCCGAGGGTCAGCGCTCTGTCGGTCATCAGGGACCTGGGCTTCTTTGGGCTTTACAAGGTGGGAAAGACTTCTGTGATGAGAGGTGAAGGTGTAGTTAGTATATATTTTGTTTGATGGTCCTCATATGGAGCTTTTTAAAAAAATATATACTTAAGATTAGGGTCATTAATTCAGGTCCACACTAAGGTGTAAATGATCAAAATATTCTTACATGGGTCTTTGTCCATGAAAAGTTTCCATGAGATTTCTGGTGTAAGTTCTTTACTGCAGTAAGCTCTTCAAAGCCCTCAAGTGAATGTTGCTGAGGACCCATTTAAGGTCACGGTGTAGTTTGTGTGGACTGGAAACACTGGAGCTGCCTACAGTATGTGTGTACAGTCATCTGTTAGCTCGGGAGGAGAATCTGAAAGTCCCGGTTTTATGTCAGTCTGTCGCACTCAAACTTGCCGGTGTGTAGACTAGAGAAATGATCTGTAAGTTCATTATAACACAAGACACGAGATCATTCCCAAGACAGAGAAGGGATGATATTCAGCTTTTTGTTTTTTTAATTTAAAACTCGTACGTCTTCAGATGCAGTTGAAAGAGACAGAAACTCGGGCTGATTTGTTTTTCTTTGCTCCTAGATTGTCTTTTCTCTTTTGATTGGCCTTGCAACTTCACAACAATCTATTGTTCCTTAATAATGTTGTGACTAAATCATATGTGATTTTTCTATTAACTGTTGTTCAATTATACGCATTACCTTACCCCACATCAGCTATCATTTAATTTGACAATTCATTGTGGTCTGTTTGAGAACCACAAACGGCACAATTTATGCTAAAAGCTGTATTTAACCTTAATTGCCATAATTGGTATTTTTCAGTGGCGCAAGGCTAAAAATTATAGTGTACTATTTGAGCATATAACTTGTTGCTAATTTAGCAATCTTTGTTGTATTACAAAGAGTATGTCCTGTTTTTTCAATAATTACTATTCCTGTAAATATTTGGACTTCTAACCCTGGTCTGTTTGAAGCAGTGAGATGTTAGCAGAAAGAGCTGGGGGGAGCCAGTGAATGAGCTGTGGCTAACGCTAACATTAGCAGCTTAACTGGCTTGACAGGGACATTAGTCCCGGGGGTGAAACAGAGCATGTCTAATTGAGTTACATAAATAAGTCCTAATGGAGCTTGGTGGGAGAGATTCTACCTCAACTGTAAACGCAATCAACTGTGAAAATGTCAATCTAATACCTGTGGTTACATTAATTAGTCATGTTTTACTTAAATAAGATGACACTTTTTTTTGTTTTGGTGTGTGGCAGCATGTCTGTCCTTAAATTCCAGGTAGTAAACTATTTTTCAGATATGTCTGCTGATTATTTATTGCACTAGACTATTACTTTAATATTCCTTTTATTTATTTAGTGATTGGTCCATGCGTCTGCTGCTGTGGCAACTTGCAAACAAACCTTTGGGTTCTGTTAACGAGGCTGTAAAAGACCGTGGAGCCTCCTCACGTCTCTGTCTACCTGTCACCGTGTTTGGGTGGTAATTTATGACCGTGAGGTGTGTGTCCACACATAGCTGCTGTCTCCATTCACCTGTTTGTGAAAATGCCGCCAAACGCTGTGTTAGCAGTGCCAGTGCATGTATGTGTTCATGCTCGTGCACATACTTAATTGCATTCGTCTCCCGGTGCACAGAGAGGAGACAAAGTGCATTGAGAAAGCAGTAGCAGTGTTGGCGGCGATGGTGGTGGTGGTGGAGGAGAGGTGGGGAGGAGACGCGCTCCAGCCTGCAAGCCCCAGACGGGCTGGCTCCGGAGGGGCTGCACCCAGGCACAGAGCTGCCTTTGTCAGGGTAATTATCCTGATGCTCACCCTCAGCTGGTGGAGCTACCAGTTGGTATGGTTACTAACGCTCTAGCGCCACCATTCATCCGTGGGAGAAGCTGTCACTGTAGGGATATCGAACCAGATAATGTTTCATGTATGTGAAGTTACTGTATATCACGTTACCTGCAAGTAACGTAAGAGCTTTGGATTTCGTGTTAGAATCTGACCGATATCAGATTTTTAGGACCGATATTTGGAGATTTCAAAATCCCTGAAATTTGTTAGGTGTAGTCAGCACTAAAATATTATGACACTTGAATTTAAAAATAAAGTTCCTTTATGGTTACAACAAGTTTGTGTGCGCATGTGTGTTGTCAACAGGAAAGTTGTAGAGTGCCCCCTGATGGAGAAACTATGCAGCATCGTTAAATTGTTGGATGGTGTTATTTCCTCGTCTTTTTAAAAAAAAATTCTATTTATCACTTGTTGTAAATACCTTTATCGATAATACTGATGATATCAACCGATAATCTGTTGATCCATATACTGGTCGGGCTCTGTTTTTGTATTAAAATAATAATTTAATTTTCATCTCTGTATTAAAGGACTACTGTAAAGCGGCTCATTGTCTCTGGTCCACCAGTGCATTACCCAACTGAACACCTTAAACCTGCTTTTAAAACTTCTCATCCCCAGTCCCTGTGACGCTGCTTGTCTGTCCTGCCTCGATAGGATCTCGAGGCTTTCAGCAGCCACATGGGCCTCGGCCAGGAGGGACAGGCAAACAAGCAGTGCCAGAGGAGAAAAAGAGGGAAAGAGATAGCCCAGGTATCTGCCAATCCTCTGTATGTATGTGTGTATGTGTCAGGGAGGAACCAAAGGATTATCCCATGGGAGTTAAATGAAGCCTGTCCAAAACAGGGAGACTCTGGCGAGGTCTTTAAACGCCTTCTGTTGACTGTAGCTGCTGTGTCAAAAAGCTGGCAGTGAGCCAGCAGGTTTAAAGTACAGCAGGAAACCCTATAGGCTTGATGATATAGTGCTGTTTACAGTCGCAGACAAGGATCCATCTTCGCCAGCCAGTCTGCCTTCCTCTGCTTTGGTTTTTTTTTTTTTTTTTTCATAGCTTTGCGTTTGGAGCCGCCCCCTCACCTGCCGCTGAGAGCACTGATCGTTTGCATATGGAGAGACATGATTTTTCTGCCATGTTTTCGGCCCACATTTCATTCTGCCTCATGAGTTGCAGGGGTCTTTTGGAAGTAGCTTAAACGGTGGTAACATCAGTTGATGCTTGGAGATGTGATTCAGGAACAGATTGTTTAATTTTGTGGCTAGAAATTGCAATTTATTTTCAGAGAACTCAGCCAGAAATCAAGGTTTAAATCCCCTGAGCTTCATTAATCTTTCTTTGCTCCCCTTTGTGTTTATTCTTGTCTTTGTTTTCTCCTTCTGGGAGCTCAACTTTTAACCCAGTGTTTTGACCCAAAGTATCCCGCTAACTTTCTTTTTAGGGTTCCAAGGCTTGTTTTCTGCGGGACATCCCCTTCTCGGCTATCTACTTCCCTTGCTACGCCCACACCAAGGCTTACCTCACTGAGGAGGATGGAAGAATAGGGCCAGCCAGGATGCTGTTTGCCGGAGCTCTGGCAGGTAAAGTACGTCCATCCCCTGGAGCCTTTACACTTCAATATAAAACGAAGGACAAACTAGTATAAAATTTAGAGGTAAAAAGTAGTTTGTATATAAGATCAGAGGCTAGAGTGCTTGAATTAAAATAGAAAGCATTGATTTTATATGTGCTTTTGCTGTATTTGTATTTTAATATATTTCAATCACTGTCTACCACTGTCAAATGAAGAGTGTCTAATGTCTGACCCCTGCACATGTGGTGTACCTCCAAACAGATCTGCATCTATATGTATATGTATTGCATAGTAAGCACTTACTGGCACACATTTTATGCATGCACACATGTAAAAATGGTCAAGATGACCTGCTGAAGTTCAGATTGAGCATTAGTGTTTCAGAAACTGTTGATCTGCAGGGATTTTCTCACACAGCCCTCTCTTTTACAGAGAATCGACTGAAAAAGAGTAAATATCCAGTGAGCGTCAGTTTTCTGGGTGAAAATATCTTGTTGATGTCAGAGGTCAAAGGAGGAGGGACAGACAGTTTTCAAAGTATGCAGATAAATAACCACACTGTGTGCCACTCCTATCAGAGGACAATATACAATGTGATTACATATTACACACATACACACGTGTATGCTATATGATTCAAAAAAGGTTGCCTGGTTTGATGAGCTTTGATTTCTGTTATGACATTCAGACTGTAGGGTCAGAATTTGGCATAAGCAGCATGAAAGCATGGATCTATGCAGCTTTCTATCAGTCCGTGCTGCTGGTGTTGATTTAATAGTGTGGGGAATATTTTTGGCACATCTTAGTCGCCTTAGTGGCAGTTCAGCGTTGTTTAAACACCACAGCCTACCTGAGCGATCCTATCACTTTACAACTACAGTGTACATACATATTCTCAGGATAACACACCATGTCACAAAGCTCAGATCATCTCAAACTGGTTTATTGAACATTGCAGTGAGTTCACTGTACTCAAATGACCTCCACAGCCACCAGATCTCGAGCCACCAGGGCACCTTTGGGATGTGGTGAAACTATTTCCAGCACCTTGTTGACTCTAAGCTGTAGAGTCATCTACTTAACGTAAGGTCAGTGGTTTGACCCCTGGGTCCTCCAGGAGGTGAAAGTACACTCAGGCAGATTACTGTGCGTGTTGAGGTATCCACGGGCAAGATAGCAGCCATCATTGTGTGCATCAGAGTGTGAGGGTGTGCAGCTAAAGTGCTGTGTGTGTGGGAATCTAGAAAATGGCTATGTAAGTGTACCTAATAAATTGGCTGGTGAGTGTATATATTTATATTGTATAAATATGTACTGTAGTTTCTGTAAAGTTGTAAAACAGCACTGTTGGATCGCCCCTTGTTACACCACCATTATAACCGGCCCTGTTACAGTACAGCATACATTTTTATTACCTGCCATTACCCATTACTGTTTGGATCTCAGATGGTATGTTTTATGCAAGTTCTCTGCAGGTCATTTGTTTAGTCTACACAGTCCCATGTTGCATTTTAATAGCTTAGCCTTTTAGTGTTTGCCCCTGGCTTGAAAACCAGTGCTTTGGCTTGTAAAGTGACTGACCATTCCAAGCGAGCCCGAAAGGCTAAAAGCTTTGCCCCCGATGCGACGTGCACAGCCCTGACATTTATGAAATAAAATCTTTGGCCGTTTCGAACAAAGTGCGAGAGCAGGTTTCGCTCTGCTCTTGCTTCAGACGTCCGCGAGCCCGCAGTAACAGTAGCAGAGCTCGGAGTTTGGGAGCCAGGCAGCCTTTGACCGCAGGCTCCATGGCGGTAGCTGCTAATTAGAGCTCAGTGATTGGGGACTGGGGTTTCTGGAGCTGTGCTGTAGGGAAGCGCCTCGGTTGCCAGCCAACCGGGCCGGGATGAAGGCTTTCCAGTCGTCATATACTGTACACGCATGCACATGCACAAAGATGGTCGCGCGTACTGCTCTGTTAAAGAAGCAGGGTGAACAGTCCCGTCCTGCCTGTAGGAGAACTGGAACAGCAAAACAATCAGTTATGATTTAAGAGCTTTATCCATTGCATAAAAAGATGATTTAACCAAAGAAAGGCTTAAATATTTGATTTATCCTTAATAACAGCCCTGCCAAGTTCAAAAGCTTTACAGCATTGGCATGAAAGGCTGACTATTTATTTTGAATCCTCAGATGTGTCAGCAGCACTCTCTTTTTGACGCAAGGCAACATGGAAAAAAATCATAAATCCTGCCTCGCTTCCAACTTTTACTTTCTCACCGCAAGACTGGCAGCCACGGCTCACAGACTGAAACGAGCCTCATGACTTCTTTATTTTTTTCATTGCTTTGACGCATTTATCATCCTTCTTTCACATATATTTATCAGCGGTTGCAGCATTCTGGCAATTAGTGTTTTACAGTCAGCACAGGAAATTGAATTACACGCTCAGTTTGTACAGCATTATTTAGCTAGGCATTACTCTGGTCTGTGAAGAATGTAGCGTGGACATCTCCAGCTCGCGTTAGCTCCGAATGGGATAAATATTGGAGGGAGGGAATTTTTGGCCGAGCTGTGGGGGTGTAAGAAATATCCACTCGCTTGTTTTGTCACTGTGAAATATGGCGGGAATATTAATTGTTTCCCGGCAGAAAATTGAATGTTTTACTTGAACCTTGCTTTGGACACCAGGTCGGCAACCGCTCACAGTCAGCGCCGTCTCAAAAGCCACTTTGGTGCATCGACATCGATAAGACAGAGTCAGCCTGCTCTCAGTTTGCACTTGATTGGAGTCAAGTTGGCAGGTTGTCTCTCTGTGATAATACGGCAATTAACTGTGACAAATGTAGCAAAATTAGCAAATCTGTTGCTGTCTGCTTACATATAAAGGCACACCGACTAATTACATTCAGACTCCACCCAGAACCTCAGAGAATTAAAACAGAAATTTACAAATTTGTTTGCAACCAGTTGGCTTGAGCCCCCTACTGCAAAGAGACACAGTGCAGATGATTTGCACTTATCAACCCAGACTGACTCAGATTGATTGCAACGTGTTGTTGGCAATCTGGCAGCAGTTATTTGCAAACATTTGCCCATCTACCTGAGAGTGACTGCAGTCAGTCTGAGTCAGGCTGCGGTGGTTTGGAGACAGGTTGCCTCCCACCTGTCTTCTCTTGCAGTCAGCTGGTTGCTACAACTAATCTTTTTTCTAACCGAGGTTTATTTTTACTCTAGTCTGACTGAGCCATTAAGACTAAGTAAACAAGGTGAAGATCATTTCAAATATTTGGAAACTACGCAGATTCTTCCAGAGGAAGGAAGTGAAGAGAAAGTGTGAGGCGTCATTGTCTCAAAACAAAGACAGAGAAAACAGTCAGGCATACAGTATGCGACTAAGGCCTAAAGTTGCTTTTAGTTGGTGAAAATTATTCATGTTTTTATGTCAGGAGATTCTTTTAGCTCCCACAATTGTTAGATATGTTAGCAAGTTACTGTAGATACTGTAGCTAAAGCACTTGCAAATATAATGATTTTTCTCGTGACTTTTAAAGCTTGGAAACATTCCCGTTTTACATAAGTGGCACACAGCCACAGGTCTTGAGGTTAGAGAAGTCCACTGCAGTTTTCTTGTTTTCCTGCTTCACGTCCTTTATCCTGTTGCTCATGTGTGCAGCTACGCAAAAACACTTCTTTGCGTTTGTTGTTGTTTTGCAGCCCATTAGCTCTGTCTGTCTCTAATGCTTGCAGATTTCTTTTTTAAGTGAGATGGCACAGAAGGGACCAAGAACCAGATCACAGCTAGTGGGATATTTGGTTTGGGAGCAGGGTGTTCTTCTAATTCCAGAAGTAATGCTTTAGCAGACACGGCTGCAAAGTAAAGCACAAGATTCAGCTGCTCTCAAAATCCAGTCTAGTTATGACTGTAAAAGTGAAGAGCAGTGTCTCACTGATCCTTTCGGGGTCAGGTTTCAGGATTTAGTGAATGTGAATATAAAACCAGTCATGTTTTTCAAAACTTAAACAGTTAAACTTTGCAGACTTTATATTATATAACATTATATAGTTGATTTGCAATGATTTTTTTGTTTGTTTTTGTTTTCTTTCCATAAAACATGGCAGTATGGTTTCTTGAACATCCCTAGTAGCAGGTAATAAAATTTCAGGGAGGGCTGGGGCCCCCTGTAGCTACACCTCTGCTGTTTCTATGCACTTTTCATGTCGATCCCATACTGTGTGGGGGTTTTGGTTTGATTACATTTTGTAGAGATAAAGATGCTGCCATCATGGTTTATCTTTTTTTAAATTTTGGATAAAGTTCTGTTTCAGCATCTGTATATCAAGACTCTTTTTATTCTGTCAAATGATTTTAAAAGTTTAAAGTTTACCTTTATCTGAATTAAAGGTCTCAGGATAGTCAGTTTTATGTGTGTGTAGATATGTGTATATATATATATATATATATTCAGACGTCTTGCCTGCTCCCCTCCTCTCCTCTCCGCTCCTCTCCTCAGTTCAGTGCAGGTGGTCAGTCTCCACTGGGTGCCAGTCGGCTACCTAATGCCGAGTTGATCAGGCTTGCTGAATAGCTCGTTTTGCCGTTACAAAAACCAAGAAGTCAGAGTAAATCGTCAAGAGGGCAGTTGATGGTAATGACCGAGCCATCAATGATTGGGCCCATTCATGAGTGAAGTGGCTGGAGTGGGGGCCTTGCAGTCACTCCCTTCAGTCAGCCAGTCACTTTGAGCAGCACACGGGGCACAGTGTGCATTTCTCTCATTACCGTCCATTGTCTGGCCTCTTTCAAACGGCTGTAGGAAAAGTGGGAGAGAGAGGAAAGGAAGAAAAAAGGTAGAGATTAAATAATGGCCTGGATTGGTTGATGGTGAAGTGATAGGAGCTGGCCCCTACTTGTGTATAGTGTATGTATGCTGCAGACATACTGCAAGATGGTAAAGATCCAAGATGACGTGTTTCAGAAAGGGGAACAAAGACGGCTAAAAATCCACTCGATGAGATGCGGTTTCAAAGATATGCAAGATTTCAATCAATCGCTGATGGCTGCTTTCTGCACATCATCTCATTTGTTTGGGCTTGATTTTGGATTTTGTGCGCTCTGTTTAGAATCAAACACGTTCCGACCTTTTAGAAAGCTCTCGAGTTCTTTCTGCAGGCATGCCGGCCGCCTCTCTGGTGACCCCGGCAGACGTGATCAAGACACGGCTACAGGTGGCGGCGCGTGCTGGCCAGACCACCTACAGCGGCCTGATGGACTGCTTCTGGAAGATTCTCAGAGAAGAGGGGCCCCGCGCTTTCTGGAAAGGAGCTGGAGGTACGCTCATGGAGTCAAACACAATTACAACACAATTCTTGTAATAGATTTACATTGATTTGATCATAAGACATAAAGCATAAACAGACACTTTCACTCTCCTTGCGTCTCAGAGATGATTTTGGTCAAACCAACTGGCCAATCTGGTTCTGCGTTTGTGTAAATTGCGTCTTTATTAATTAAAATAAACACATTTCTCCGCTGCAGCTCGAGTGTTTCGTTCTTCGCCTCAGTTTGGGGTGACACTGGTGACCTATGAACTCCTGCAGCGCTGGTTTTATATCGACTTTGGAGGACCGTAAGTATCTTCAACCGCACAGAAACAATAACAAGCCTTTTTCTTCCTGAATGCAAGCACACAGTGATGTCACACAGACCCTCTGACAGTCGACAGTTTCCTCAAATACACAAGTTTTGTTAGCACCCATTTGAGCTCAGCGTGTCGTTTCCCCACTCCTGGGACTCAAAGAGCCTCATCCTCCTCTCATGAAGGTCACTGTCAAGAATAATTCACTCCTTCACTCTAAACCCCGTTGGGGAACTTGGGTTGCCTCCTTTTAATGGACAGCAGACACCACGATGCACATGCACGCATCGGTCGGACGGCTCATTCGTTTTCCATGTAGCGCCCTCTCTCCCCGCTCGCTCACAGCGACACAAAATCAGCTGCAGATCCAGTGAAAACTCGCTGCGGTTTGGACCCGAGCAGATCCTTTTCTTGCTGTCTGTGTTGGCAGCGATTCACAGAGCGCGGCGTGAAATCTTTGAGGGATTAGATTTAGTTCTGCTCTCAGGGAGAACCGTTGAGCCGTTCCGCTTTTGATTTTCTATTAAGATTGTTTATTTCTGTGGCGAACAGCGTTTCGAATGATAATATTAATTTAAGATTTAATAATGATGATAATAAAACCCCTGTGCGTTAACAGTTTGCAGTGTTTATGTTGTTGAACAGTTCCCTCCATTCTCCTCGTCTCTACCTCTTTTTTTGCTCCTCTCTCTCTCATCATGTCCCTCACTTTCTCCTCCATCTCTCTCTCTCCACACACCACAGAAAGCCGGCTGGCTCCGAGCCCACCCCCAAGTCTCGGATCAGCCTGCCGGCGCCCAACCCCGACCACATCGGAGGCTTCAGGTTGGCCGTGGCCACATTCGCTGGCATCGAGAGCAAGTTTGGACTCCATCTCCCACGCTACACGGTGCCGACGGCAGCGGCCCCTTCCAACGTGAGCACCCCCTGAACCTCCACGGGTGTGTGTTTGAGGGGGGAGCTGAAGTGTTTTTCATACGTAAAGCACCGAGAAACTATCAGGTCCATTTAGTTTTCACAGTATTTGAAGTTATTTTGTTCTAATTATTGTATAAAAGCATCTATATGCGATCTCACCGATTAGTGTGTAATTGCTACAGGGCTCACGCAGTGTTTGTTTCACAGTGTTGTGTTATACTAGTTAGGTTTACACTCCAAACTCGTACACAGTATGCACACAGCAGCAGAAGGGCTTGCACAAATACACTTGAACACTTTCTTTAAATATCGGTGGCTACTTACTGTTGCAGCTTTTTCCAGTGTCTTCCTTTTGTGTTGCTTTATAACCAAAAGCACATTAATCACATGATCATAAAACCGGCTACACACAAAAAATACAGTAAATGTGGCACTTCTTGATATATTAGAAATCCAGACATATTTTCATATGTGTGCGTTTGTTTTGATTGAGTTGCTCTTTTCAACCGTGTGTCGATTTATGGTCGAATGAATCCAGAAGAATACGACCAGAGAAAGAAGTTTTGAATGTAAAAGGCGCGGCGTTAACGTTGTGACCGTACATAATGTTCACCGCTGTCAAGATGTTTGGGTTCAGGTTTAAATGTATGCAGATGTGGAAATATATGAAGGAGTGCGTGCGCCATGGCTCTGTATTTAAACTTGTACGGTGCAGAGACTGTAGGAGCTACATGTGGTGTGTAATAATTGTGCCTTACTGAACGTATGGCAGCAACATGTGTGGTCGGAGTAAAGAGACACTTGTATTAGTAAGTATGGTGGAGGTTTTATTTGCAGTACTACTTCCTGGTTGGAGGTGGAAATGAAAGCAACACAGCGGCTCCCGGGCTCTGCTTTAATAGTCAACATTAGCAGGCTGAACAGCAATCACTCTGAATTACAATATACCTCTTATTAATCGTCACAGTTCATTAAATAATATACAGTTGAAGCTGTCACTGAGTACAGAGGACCACTCGATTCAGCTTCTGACGCATCGACTCGAACACTGACATAAAGCAGCTCCATGTGTGATAACCTCGCTCCATGTTAACCCCACATTTCTGCATCTGGAATATTTTGGGAATGCGTTGCATGCAGGCTTAATACAGACAAAAAGAAGCACAACATAAAGTGAACATGGAAACGAAACATGACTAGTCTATGAAACCTGCTCCATTATTATTCTTTTTTTACAGTAGTGCGAAGCATTGTTACAGTACACACACCTCCATAAGGCTAACAGACTGCTGCTCTTTATATACTGGAGGCTCACGAGTTGCAAGCGACGCATCACCTGAAGTTGTTGGACGAATAAATAACAACAAATCGGTACAATTTGATTTTAGAAATGCAAAAGTACAATAAAAAACAAACAAACAAGAGAGGAACATAAACGTGGAGAAACAAAACCCAAAGTGAGTGAGAAGCACATGCTACATTGACACCAGCAGAAGCACACCAGGTCTCTGGATCCGCCCACTTTGGTTTTGGAGTCTTTCTTTTCTATGAAGCCAGCTCCATAGGCCCCTCCTCCTCGCCGTCAGCACGGTTAGCACGGATCTCCATCAGCGTACGGGCAAAGCGCGCCCAGTCGTCCGTGTGGGCCACCGAAAGCTGTAAAAACCACACAGGTACACGGTGTGAGGGAAATCGCGTACATCACTATACAGGTACCACAGCATGACTTAATAACGGAAGGAAATGAGCAATAAATCTGTCTGTGCTGACATCAGATCCTGGTACTGATGCTGGAACAGCGGCCGTGCCAACATAGAGGACTCCCACAGAGAATCCACGCTTCTCCCGGTTCCAGATTTTTCCACAAGGAAAAACGATGTCATAAAATCCCATAAATTCCTGGCAGATTACTTTTAGCATGAACAAGCAACATGAGATAAAGCAGTTGTTCTCCGTGATCATTTTCCAGAGTTTAACCGCGTGTCTGTAAGTATGGTAAACAGATGTTCGGTGTTTCGGTGTCTGAGAAGCTTTCATATTCTCTTCAGTTGTTTTAACACTGGACAGGTGACATCTGCTCATCGGTTGTGATGGAGCCAGAGATGACCACAGATCGACCTTTAACCAGCTCGGCAACCACTTGCTGTCAGGTGCCGTCTGCAAAAAATTTACAAAGCTATTGCTCTGCAAATACACAGCAGTTCACATTAACTTCTCACATTCAGCCTGCACCCACAACCCCACAGATCTGAAACCAATTCCTCCACAAACATTGACGTAGTTGATGCAGGGCTTAATTTAACTACAACGTGACACACGAGCTCAGCAACCTTGCTTTTATATAGGAATAGAACCACAATACAACCAGCTGGCAACCAGTTGAGTCGAGTCCCCTACTGCAAAGAGAGGAGTTGCAGTCATCAGTGCAAGCTTATATAAACGTGTTGGTGATCTAAAATAAGACAATTATTATTACAAGCCTGTCACTTGCTCAGAGTCACTGCAGTCAGTCTGAGACGACCTGTGTGGTTATTTGCAGAAAGGCTCCCTCACACCAGGCAACCTGTACAACTGCTTAATGATCCAAAGTAGTTCCCAGAAAATCAATGCGATCACTAATTCTTCCTAGTAGCAAAGAAATTCACATCCGAGCTCTAAAGGCAAAGTCATCAATGAAATCACATGGATTCAATCTTCGGGGCCATAAATGTTTTCCATAATTTCAGTTCATTTAATTGCTGCTGAGACATCAAATTGGTCAATCAGATACTGTCACTGGAAGCACGGCCTATGATGCTGATCTATGATAGCAACGCTTCTGTACTCACAGCCAAAGCCGTGACATCACCACATCAGCATCATACTGACCAAAAAGGTAAACGTAATCATTGCAAACAGAGTATTCAGAGCAGTCTGAAGCCTGTGTTTGTATAAGCATTCAGAACAGAACTATGAGCGTCACAGGTTCACTTTGGTGTTTGATAAGAGAACATGAGGCCAGTATGAGATGTCAAACTGTGTTTTATTCCTCATAAAGTGTCTTGCTAGAGTTGTGCACAGCAGGAGTCAGAGTGAGTGGGACTGAAGTCGCCACCCAAGATGCCTGCAACCGCTTTGCCTGCCCAGGCTGTAATTAATCGGGAACCAGGAAGAGGGAGGCAGCCATTTTGAACCACCCCCCAAGGGGCTGGGCTGGCCACAGCGGGGGGCTCTGGCAGATCGTTGTGTACTTGGTGCCTGAGTGACTTCAGCGTTAGCAGCAAGACAAGAGGCCCAGAAACACGGCTGGCTGGGCTGAAGTCAGGTTTTTAAACAGCAGCAGCTTCAAAATGCTTCATGCTGAGGAACATGATCTGGAAAAACAGAGCAATACCAGTAAGGTCCTAATAAAAACTGCTCTAATCTCTGATGACACAGTTTTTTCTCATTTGTACTCAGTAAAATAAAACAGAAATAACAGTATTTGGTATTTTACTGCACTGGAAAACTCTAAAGGGCTGCTCTAAGTCCCAGGACCACAGCTCTCTGGATGAAACTGCTGGCATCTCTTTTTTTCACATGCTGTTCCCAGTTATAGCTGTATGGGGGAGTTTGTAGTGACTTTAATACCCACAACACACACACACACACACACACACACACACACACACACACACACACACACACACACACACACACACTCTCTTAGCTCGTTGGAGTCATAAAACCTTTCAGCCCCGCTCGCTCTTATTGATGACTCTCATGGTTACCATGAACTCAGCATGGAGTCCACCAGCTCAGCCCCTCTCCAGTTTACCACACAACAAAAAAAAAAAGATGCTAAAATTAGCCGAGCGGCTAGGCTAGGCTGCACTCACTTGGGATCCTAACCAGAGCTCTCTAAACATGAGAGAACATACGGGCTGGCCGCTTTGTGGTGACAGCAGTGTCACGTGGAGGCCGTTTCACATGAAAGAGATGGGGCACAAAAATATCAAACATTTCCACTGCAGGAACCTTTTTGAGGGGGTTTAACAAAGCAGGGAGAAAGATCTAAATAAAGGTCTAGGGAAATTACTTAACCCCTCACCCCCCTGCTTATGGTTGCTTACGGGTTGCTGCTTTCTTTGTGGGTGGAGCTTGCAGGACCACACATCGCCAAGCAGGATTTTAACCATCTAAACTGTTTGTTTTTAAAATTATGGGTAGATTTACTAACACTGGCCTCTGCCTCCTTAAAAACATAAACTAAATGAGGGATGGTTAAAGGCGTGTTTGTGCACTGGTCCTACAGGGATCCAATGTTGTTGCTGTGTACATTCACAAGGGGGCAGTGTCCAGAATACGCAGAGTAACCAGTACTGTTGACTGCTCTGGTCGTTTAGCTTCGCTAAGCTTAGCTTCAAATGCAAACTTGTTGTGTGACAAATAACACACTGAACACACTTTTGTGTTCAGAATGTCCCTGTCAAAAAATGCAGATCTGTTTATTTGCATGCATAAAATTTGAAAAACCAAGAAATTCCAGCCGTTGGGAACGACCGTAATAAGAATAGGTGTGTTTTACACATCAAGTGTGTAAAACAATGAAAACTGTCCACTGTGTTCCTCTTTCTTCTCTCTGTAATTCTCTCTCTCTCTCTTGCTAATTATTCACTAATCTGACACAAATGTGGAACCATGAATTCCACTTCAGTGACTCAATTTGTAGAAACACAGAACAAAAGATGGGCGGAGCTACTGTGATGTCACCCATTGGTAACGCCTTGCTGAAATGAGTGGTTACACATGACTCAGGTGTTCACTGAGGTCAAGTCCAGGCTACATCAAATCTTTGTCTACAGTAGAGTCCCATAAAAAGTACAAGGACTAAAGACAGACTTCATGCTAATTTACCAAATGCGACTCACGGCAGCGCTACAGAGCACCTAAGTTCAGCTGATCAGCTGATCAATGTTTTACTGAATCATCGTCTCATCTTCCACTCTCAGGTTTGCAGACAGTGCACAGGAATTTGGAAAGTACTCAAATTTCCAGAGAACAGGCAAAGAAAGGATTTTTGATTCAATGTCATTAGCTCAGTATTTCCAATGTATGTAGTTTTAATGGCACATTTAATGCCGTCTTGTGTTCTAAACACTGATCTGATGTAAACGTCAGTTTTAGCTCCAAAATCAACTTTTTGGTTTGAAGGTCGCAGAGACATCCGGAGAGTGTGAATGTTTCTTTTCACTCAGATGAACCTAGTGGGGGCTTTATACACTGAAGAACGAGACCTAAATAGATGAATTATTTGTATGTGCAGGTTTTACTGAAAAAAAAACAACCTTATTTCTACTGTTACACAATAATGTCAGTGGCTCAAACACACATGAATCACAGCATAAGCAAGTATATATTTATAAAATGATGATTAAAGTTTTTTCACCACATGATGGGTTTTTGTTTAGAATTAAAGTGAAAAAGAGGTGTTTGTGATGAGCTTTAACTATTATCCATTTAAAAAGATCAGCAAGTTAAATTTCAGGCACTAAAAAAATCGCTCTATGTGGCAATAAACTTTGGTCATTGCAGTTCACTCAAGCTTTTGGCACCTAGGCGGTAATTAAATCTTGACTGTTTGAAAACTAAACCCACGAGAACTCCTGGCTCCGTGCACCACGGCACTCAAAGTGAATTTAAAAAATGAACTCAGCAGACTTTTTGTAAAAGCCCAGAGCACACTGCCAAAATATTAACATCATATGAGAAACAACCGAGTGTAATATTTCTGGAAATGCTACGATTATTACTCTGTAATCATTAGGTTGCCACAAATATTCTATAAATGTCTTAATTAAGTAACGTGTAAGCACATGTCAGCTATACAGTTAATTCGAGTACCTCTCCTGTATCGTAGATCCAAACTCGACCCTCCGAGTCGCCCACAGCCACCTCCTTCCCTCCTGAAGACCAGCGGACTCTGTTGAGTGCTGAAGCTCCCTCAATGGTCACGCTGGCAGTGGGTACCTGGCAGGCAAAGAGTTCAAACAAACCCACACCGTTAAACAACAAATCAAACAGTTCACGGATAACTGAGTGTAAAATGTGGTGTGTAAACACGTAGGTGTGTCTGCTATCCCCGAGATGGTTTTGGTTATGTTCCTGATGATCAAAATTAATGCTGCTCCAGGTTCAACACTGCAAGCGACCAAAACCTCCCGATGTTCACTCATGAAAAAATCTTTTAAAAAAAGGAGGTGGTTAAGGTCAGGTTAGGATATAATTGGTGTGCTGAACTCTGACATCACAATGTGATTGGTCAGTTGCGATGTTGAACTTTGGACCAACGTTAGTTTTGACGATCCAGGATCGACACCAGCAGGGGGATATCGGATCGTGCTTTTGTGGTAAGGAACAGGCCGAACCAACAGGAAACAAATAAATAGCAATATGGAAACGTGAGTGTTAAATAGAGCACTTAACAGACAGCTTCTGTTACAGCTGCTGTTTGTGTTTGGGAATTTTATTCCACAAAAAAGAGAAAAAAAGTCAATGAGTGACTTTGTAATTTAGTCTTAAATTCCTTTGATTTTAAAGGAAAATACAGTGAAGTAAACATTTAGGCATAAATCATGCCTCTCGGCCCTCATTTTTTACGACCATAATCGCTGTTTAAACGATTCCCTTTATAGTTTATTGGTAAATGGAAGCATTATACCATTATGGTCAAATTTAGCAAATTTACTATTTATAAAGGGCCACTTTATCCAGCTATACGAGACGGTAAGAAAAACAAAGCTGTCAAATTACAACTTGTAGATACAACAGGATATTTACAGTGTAATAACTCACTTTGCTGTTGTGGGTGAACAGCAGTGCTCACACACTGCACCTTCAGAACCCCCTGAAGCCACGTGCACAGTCTACATGAACTGCTCCTGACATGCGGCAGGCGAGTCTGACATATGTCACCGGTGGAGACAGAGGCCTTGGCATCATGTCGCCTCACACACAGAGCTTCTGCGTATTTGAAAGCAGCGCTAACCGCATGCTGCACGAGCGGATCCGAACTGAGCACTCTAAATTGGTTGTGCATGCGTGCGCGTACGTGTGCGCACTGGAAATGAGAACCAGGCGCACCGCGCAAGCTCTGTTAATGTCGTTATGCCTGTGTGTTTTTAATATGACGATAACAATGGAAGCCTGTTGCTATTAGACTGCGCGCGAGGCAGTGTGCGCGCATGTGTTCGATACATCCGCCTGTGTGTGTGTGTGTGTGTGTGTCTGAGCAAATGTTTCTCATAAAGCACATTGTTAGTCGAGTTAGGCCACCGATAATGAACTCTTCCTCTGTCTGTGAAAAGGCTGCTGTTGAGGGAAGCCTGGGAAACTTGTCATCTGCGCTGCAGAGGGAGGGAGGACTCTCAGCTACCGATGGACCCGGCTGAGAGTAACGGGCTTAGCAGATGAAGAGATGCGACACCAAATCCAATTTTATTTATGTGCGTAGACTGAAGAAAATGAGACGCTGAGAGCGAAAGAACATTATGAGAGAGGATGGAGAGTAGGTGTTGTCTCCATGGAAACCAAAAGAGAAGGAGAAAGGAGGATCCTTTTATCTCTACTTTTACCCGAGTGATCAAAGGTTTGGTGCCCACTCTGCTCCCAGAGTTGTAACAAAGTATGATTTTAAGAAATGTGGATTCTGCTTCTTAGCTCGACAGTTTGATGCTCATCTGTCCATTAAATATGAGGCTGCAGCCATGACAGTTAGCTTAGATTAAAGGTACAGTCAGTAAATTTGCGATGTTACATAATAAGGAAAAAGGGACACTGTACTCTGAAATATACACTGAATAGTTTGTAATTACATCTTCCAACAAACTAATGTTCAGAAACGTATAATTAATCCATTAAAAATACATAGGAGTGGCTTTGCGGTTTGTGGAAACCGCCATGTTCTCCCACCATATTTGAATACAGTAGCTGGGAAGGACATCTCCCTTTTGACTAACAGTGTTATAAATATGTGGCTAGAGACTGGCCACATACATGGACTCCATATGTGGAGTCTGTGGAGAAAAAGTAGTCGTGGCTATTCGTGTCCATGGAAGGACATTTGAATTTGTGCCTGCGTCTTCAGAGCAAAGATTCGAAGGATCATACGTATGGTTTATTATCAGAGGAGGAGGGAAAGGAAAGAGACAACGCTACCAACATCTCAAGCCTCATCTCCTGAACTCTAACACACAAAAACGTGCATAAATAGGCTGATTTATTCCTGACATTATCCCGGTTACTTATTGTCAGCAGATTACACATGCGACCCTCCCGTCTCCGGACAGCTGACAACAACAATAGCTGGTTATAAGCTAACATTATAGCTAACATCCCAGCTAATGTTAGGCTGAAGTGTCCTAGAAATCACACTTTCCCTCTAATAAACAGTTTGATTACATTCCCTCAAGCATCAGAATCAAGCTAACAGCAGCGCTACCAACACTTTGGCACATCCTCAACATCTCCGAATCGTTGTCATCATTGAGAAGTGAGCTTCACTGACTCACTGACTTATATCGGATTCCTTTCAAAAGGTTTTACAGCATCTTCCTGAGAAATAAAGATTTAATGTTTTTGATCTTTGTTGGCTGACTAATACATGTTTGTCCTATAGCACACATCGGAGCTAGGATTATGCACACAACTGGTAAGAAAACAGACCTCAGGTGACTTCAATCTGCAATTTACCTGTACCAGAATATATCCCAACCATAAGCACTGTAAACATCAATGGCAATATTGGCCCAGAATTTCAGTCAATGCGTCCCTACTTTTACACTGTATCTTATTGTACATGTGTGTTAAAACAAAACAAAAAAACCCCCTGATTCCACTTTTTGTAAGTGTGTGCGACCTTTAAAAGAAAAATAAGCTGTGTTTTTATTTTGCTCACTGTATAACACTGTCTGCAAACTGTTTAATACTATGACGTGTCCTCCAGTGGCCTTAAATGCACTCGTCTTAAAATAACTGCTTGCCCCACAGCCTTGCGAAACACAACCCCTGGTCTGAAGTTTCTTTTTTTTATCATTATTATTATTTTCATGGAACTGTGGACTGAGGGCTGGGGCTTTGCTCATGGTCTCCGGCACATCTGTGTTCCCCTTCGAAGGGACACTGTGTGGGAGGATGATGGGACGGGGTTTGTGGGGTCCTGAGGTTCCCTGAACATTGGAGAGAGGTTGTAGAAATGTTAGTGGGATGGCTGGGTGGGAGCTGGGATAAGGAGATGTCAAAGTCTGATTTAAAGCAAGGTCTGTGGGAAACGCCCACGGGGGAATCTGGAATTGTGTGTGTGTTGGGAGGGATGTGGAGGGACTGGTGGTGGAGGGGTTGATGGGAGGGAAAAGTCTTGGATGTTTGGTTGTGTGGTTCGGGCTGAGGCCCAGCAACAGGCCCTGAGGACACCAAACACACGCACATCAACACACAAAGAGATGACACACAAACCACACCCATCACGGCCTGTATTAGCTACATTCACACACACGCACACACATACAGAGTATGCACACACCTCGGTGTCATTGTTGAGGTTCCACAGGTCCAGGCGGCCCATGCCATCCACGGCAGCAAACATGGCAGGGTGCACGGGCGACCACATGACATCATACACATAATCGGCGTTGTCTTCAAACGAGTACAGAGGCTTGTTGTGCTGAAAGAGAGGAGGAAAAAAAAGAGGGTATCTGTGCGAGCGTGTATGAGTGACATGGTGTGAAAAAAAAAGAAGAAGAAGCAGAGAAAACGCGGAGAGCGACGGATTACAGCGGATGACATACCAGAGAGAGAGGGAAAAGGAATTGAGAGAGGGAGCGAGGGAGCTTCAGACAGAGTGGCGCTGCCTCAGCCTTGGGGCCTGTCTGGGTGCAGAGCCTAATTAAAAAGCCTAGCACATTCACACAGCGCCATAAAACCGCTGGGAGAGATGAAAGAGAAGGCCTCTCCACAAGGTGTACTGTAACCTCAACACAACAGCTGTGAGAGAGAAACAGAGACAGAAAAATAGGAGGAGGAGGCGGGATGGACAATGGTGCACAGGAAGGTGTGTGTTTGTGTGTGTGTGTCCTTGCAGGTGTGCAAGGAGAACCTGACTGATAATGGTTTAAACCAACTATTTAACACTGAAACTAAATCTAACAGAGAGATCTATATGTTATTTATGTGCTCAGAGGCATCGTTTTACACTTCCGAAACAAATCTGTCATTCCTCGTCTGGTAGACAAACTCATCCCATTATACTGACCTAAACAATTATGTGTTTGTGACGTTGCGTCTCCATAAAGTCCTCGTGACAAAGTCAGAGGTCAGAGAACAGATGCAGTCAGCTCTCGCACCGGCGTCCTCCCTTACTGTGCATGTTTGGTTTTGTGGTGCATGCACTGCACTATGCAGGACAACACAGCTGCCTACAATGAGAGCTGATTGAACTTTGACCTTGAACTACACTAACCTCTGGGAGAAAGACCAGTTGGTGAAGGCTACTGCTTGTGCTGCAGTTTACTCACACTAGGGGCAGTTGTCTCAGTCCATGCCTGATCACAAATGCCTCTCCTTCTCCATGCCCGTGCTGCCAGTACGCTCTTTAACTCTCAGTAATTTCCTCTTCACTGTCTTTCCTTCATCCTTAACGTAAAGAAGCATCTCAACTCCTCCGTCTGTTTTTCCAACACACACTTCGTTATGATGTGACAGTACAGGGAGTGCAGAATTATTAGGCAAATGAGTATTTTGTCCACATCATCCTCTTCATGCATGTTGTCTTACTCCAAGCTGTATAGGCTCGAAAGCCT